TTTATTTGTATATCAGGTGTGGAGCTTAGGGCACCAGACAAAGGTGCAGATAAGGTCTGATTCTTTCCAGCATAGCTAGGGGCATGGCTAACTCCATATGTTCCCACGTCTTACGTAGACTCTAATGGCTCCAAAGGAGGTAAGTTGAACAATTATCAAAAGTCAAAAAGTAGTTTATTGAACATAGTATCTGACCTGCCTAATTTACACCAAATGTCTAAATTTCGAAGACATTTTTATTTTACCAATAATCCTTAAAACTGCCTTTCTTTTCCAAAGATTACTAAAGTCATGTGAACAAAAAGGCATTAACATTTTAATTTTTCTGGTGAAACATTTTATCTAACCGCGTGCTTTTCTTTACGCCAATTAAATAGAGCTCTTTTATGTATTTTGGTACTAAAATATTACTCACACGGGTGGTGGAGACCGAAAGCAAGTACCCCCACATGGTCAAGGTCAAGCTCCCAAGGACATAACACAAGACGAGGGGGAATCCCCATCCAGCTTTTGTTTCAGAGACCTGCAGCAAAGTTGGCAGCTGGCCAGTTTGCTGGGCCAGCCTGAATAGTGAGCTCACAGGGGTCCTAGGCCCACATTGTATCCTATGATATCCCATTTATGACAGAATGACACAGAAAGACAAATTCATAGCACAAAGTACACCAGATTCATCACAGCCTAAGGCTAGCCTCACAAATCCTTTCTCCCATTCATCAAAACCTTGCAGAAGAGACCATGATTTTTAGCATTCATTCAAATGGTTCGCACAGAGAGGGAGAGACCAGAGGCCTGACTGGTAAGAAATTCTTACCCTTTTGCCAGCATGCCAGGTTTCTGGGATCCCTTTCCCCACGCAGCCCTAGCCACCTTGCCTCACAGCACCATAACTGTGGGGGCCAAGTTACACCACAAAGGAATTATCACCCTTTTCCACTTCATGGAAACACAGGCAAAAACCTCTCAATTTTGCAAGGTGCTGCTCAACAGGCTGCATGGAGGAACCAAATCCACATTGTCCATTCCGGGCAGAACAAAACACACTTGACAAAACGTAGTCATTAGCCACCCCCTCAGCACCGAATATTGACCTGGCAAGCTCAAAACTTCCCCCGTCGGCCCCTGTAGTCTCTAATCCATTCAAAGTTGGTGGAATGACTGCCAACCAGGAGTTTCAACAAGGGGTTTTGGACAACATGGAAGCGTAGACAGTCATCCAGAGTGACAGAGAAGACCGACGAGGGAAAGGCAAGAAAGAGAGAGAGGCACCGGGCTCGGTGGCTCACCCCTGTAATCCCAGCACTTTGGGAGGCCGAGGTGGGTGGATGACCTGAGGTCAGGAGTTCAAGACCAGCCTGGCCATCACGGTGAAATCCCATCTTTAAAAAAAAAAAAGAAAAGAAAAAGAAAAGAAAAAAGAAAGAGAAAGAGGAAATGGAAGGGAGAAGGCCACTGCCTGTGGTGGACTGCGGAGGTGAGGAGCTCAAGGAACCCAGAGAAAGACCCATCCAACACAGCGACACTGAATCAAGAGTTCAGGCAGCTGCTTGTTAAAAGGGATCTTTCCTAGCAGTCCCATCAGCTCTCAAGTCTTCCCCTTTGGGGAAGGAAAAAAAGATGCCCAGGTCCCATGACGCTGCACATACCTAATCCTGTCACCCACCGCCCTCAGCAAAAAGGGCATGGAAAATTAATCCAAAGAGAATAGCGGTTACCATCCTGCAGGGCTAAGTCCATTTTTAGGCAAGAGAGGTCTTACCGAGGGTCGCCTCTAACCTTCCTCAGTTGGGCCTTGAAACCACGTTTCAACAAGCCTTCTTGTCGTTTACTAAGAGGGGTCTCTAACTCCCTGTGTCTTAGAAGGAATTCTAACTCTCCTAATTGGGGCCTTGAACCCAATTCCATCCATTACCCTGGGTAAACTACCCACCGCTTACCCAAAATTGGCCAACTGGTGCCTCAGTCTATTTCCCTTGGGTCAGAGGCCTCTCCAGTATGATCCCTTCGTGGTTTCTCGTGAAAGATGTTACCAGAAAGGGGTCCTGATCCAGGCCCCAAGACAGGGTTCATGGATCTTCCACCAGAAAGAATCTGGGGTAAGTCCACAGAGTAAAGTGAAAGCAAGTTTATTAAGAAAGTAAAGGAATAAAAGAACGGCTGCTGGTTGGCTATTTTTATGGTTATTTCTTGCTCATATGATAAACAAGGGGTGAATTATTCATGAGTTTTCTGGGAAAGAGGCAGGGATTTCCCTGGAACTGAGGGCTCTTTCCCCTGTTAGACCATCTAGGGTAACTTCCTGACATGGCCATCGCATTTGTAAACCATCATGATGCTGGTGGGAGTGTCTTTCAGCATGGTAATACATTATAATTAGCATATAATTAGCAGCAAGGATGGCCAGAGGTCACTTTCATTGCCATCTTGGATTTGGAGGGTTTTGACCAGCTTCTTTACTGCCTCCTGTTTCATCAGCAGGATGTTTGTGACCTGTAACCTCCTGTCTCCTCCTGTGACTAAGAATGCCTAATCTGGGAATGCAGCCCAGCAGGTCGCAGCCTCATTCACCCAGCCTGTATTCAAGGTGGACTTGCTCTGGTTCAAAGGCCTCTGACAGAGGAACTGGATCTCTCATCCATTGAATACAGTTTTACTTCATTTTATAAAGGTTAAAATATATTGTTTAGGAATACATACCTGTGTGCTAAAATTATAAGGTAAGGCAAGAGAATGATTAACACAACATTCAGGATTGTGGCTACCACCTCTTGGGGATAGTGGGGAGTTGAGAATAGGAAAAAGAACCTGGAGAGCTTTAAAAATACAGGAATAATGTGTTGTTTCTTAAGCTGGAAGGCATGTGTAAATCTTTTAGAAAATAAAAGCTTTGAATATAATGAGTGTTAGGCACGTTGGTCGTGTAAGGGGACCACCAAGCAGGCTTTGTGTGAGCAACATGACTGTTTATTCACCTGGGTGCGGGCGGGCTGAGTTCAAAAAGAGAGTCAGCCAAGGGCAGTGGGATAGGAGTTGGTTTTATAGGTTGAGGCAAGTGGTCAGTTAAAGATGATAATCTATTTTAGGGAGGGGAAGGGCATCATGGGATGCATGGTCACAAGGGTAGGGGTCATCTGCTACAAACAGGCATGATTATAAGGGTGGGGGATATGGGTTGCAAGCAGAGGGGAGGGTGCTGTAAATTACACAGTTACAGGGGTGGGTGCCTTGAGAAACCCAGTGCCCAGAGGGGAAATTCCACAAGGCTGAGCAGAAACAATGGTTGCAGGTTGCAGGTTGCAGGGGGAGAGCAATCAGATGAGGCAGGAACAAGTTGTTTCACTTCTTTCTGTGACCACCTGGTTACCTGCGGTTACCTCAGACCTTCTGGCTTCTGGGGACCAACCAGAGGTGGACATGAGGGGCACCAGGGCTATAATGGCCAAGCTTGGACTTGGAGACCTAACAATGAGTATTATGTGAAACATGGTTGGGACTCAAGTTTAGCATGACAGAAACATTAATGAATTCCAGAAAGGTTTGTCTCCTCTCCAAAATCAAAAGTGCCTAACACTGTGGTTTAGCACATTTCTATTTAAAGGTAATTTAAGATACATGTTTATGACTTGTTTAAATACCATATAACATCTCTCAGAGGAATCACAAGAAACTAGAAATAGCGATCGCCTCTGGGCAGGGAACGGAGAGCGGCAATGTGAGGCTAATTTTTCACTGCACAGCATTTATATATTTTGAATTCTTCCTCTTGTGTATCTGTTACTGAACGGAAGGCTTTTGGGAGAGCCGGAGGAGGTAGCTAGCATGGAGCAGGAAAGCTGAAGGTGCAGGTGGGCAGGGGGCTGGTGCTCCCTCCGGCCAAGCTCTCCTGCCAGAGGCTCCAAGGCCACAAGCCTTCTTCCTCAGGACTTTGAGATGGAGGAGGGCGGGGCCGGGGAAACCTTTTAACACAGAGCACTAAAAGTTCTCGGGGGGGCTGGGGGGAAAAGGAGGAATCAGAGACCCTCGTTTGGCAGGAGGTTTGTGGATTGCAAATTGGTTGCAGGGAAACACCCCCACCGCCCCCACCCCGGGACACTACAGCCTCAGACCTCCGTGATCCTGGCTTCTGAAACTGGTCAGCAGCACTCTGGAGGCGGCGGTTTTGAAGGGCCAAGGAGAGGGGCTGTCTGCCCGAGAAAGAGGATGGCGGAAAGGGGTTCACGCTTTTCCACCTCCGAGACCACGAGGGTCGGGGGGTCTTGCTCAGGGAATGAGAGCTTCCCTCCCCAGTGGCCTCCAACCCCCCCCACCCCGCGCCATGCTTCCCACCCCAGAAGATCTGCTTGGCCCACGTTCCAGCGCAGCGCGGTGGAAGACGGCCCTCGTGTGCCAGTGCGGACTCTCGCGCCCCTCCAGCGCGCCGGCGCAGGACACAAAAAACCACAGCTCCCAGCAGCCCCCGCGCCGCTCGCGCGCAGCCGCAGAGCAGACGCTGCCCGGAGCGAGAGCCCGGAGGCGGGGCGAGCGGCTGTGGGGCGGAAGTCCGCCGCCCTGCTCGGTCCTGGCCCTTCGTGCCGCCTGGCCCCACCGCCCGCGGGCACCGGAGCTAGCCCCGCAGCGGGTGAGTGACTCAGCGCCCGCGGCCGCCGGCGCCCTGCCCCCGCCATGGGCTCAGGTCCCCGTCCCGGAGCCTGCCGTCGCCCTCCGACCCCACCGCGTCCCGCCCCCTGACCCCTCAGGCCCGCTTCCCGTCCCACCCATGCGGACCTCTGTCCCCGGACTTGCAGAGTGGAGTGGGACGCCGCCCTCTGACCTGTGGGAAAGTCCCCGTCTTCCGACAGGCGGTGGACACCACCCTCTCTGACTTTGGGACACCTCTTCCCTGGGACTAGTGTGGGGACCATTTCCCTCTGATTAGTGTGGGCACCTCCCCTGTCTGATTGATTAGTGTGGTGGCTATCCCCCTCTGATTAGTGTGGGGCACCTCCCCCCTCTGGCTAGTATCGGGCACGCCCCCGGGAATGACCCCCTCCCACCACCCTCTGACTTCAGACAGCCCTCCTCTGCTCTATGCAGGGCCTCTCTGGACTGATAAGGGCATTTTCTCCGTCTTACTGGCACTTCGTCACACCTGTAACAGGCGAGGCTTCCCCACCCCATCCCAGTCCTGGCTCTCCCTGCCCTCATCCAGTTTAGAGCCTTCCTCCAGGCAGCACAGCTCAGTCTCGTCTTTCTGCATGCAAACGATTTGCCCTCCCCACTGTACCCGTCTCACACCCCTGCTGCCCTCCGGTCTGGATTCTCTTATCCCCCGGGACTGGTACCTCCGTGCCCGTCCATGTTGCCTGGTGCCTTTGCTTCTGCCCCCAAATGGTCTTTCCCTTGCCCTCTGTATCCCTAGGTTTGGCACAGAGCACCTGTGACCCCTCTAACGTCCGCCTCCAGCGGACACCTCTCTCTCCCAAGCACCTTTCCGCCTTAGTGGCCCCTGTCTCCACAGCAGCCCCAGTGCCCAGCTCCATTCCTCATTCTCTTCTTGGGGTTGTATGCTCAAGTCTTTCCTGCCACATTTTCAACAAAGCAGGGGTTTGGAAACGTGAGTCTCTTGGTGTCAAGTGAATCTGGCTAGCCCTCCGGTGGAAGCTCCCAAACTTGAAACAAGTGTCAGGTCCTAGAAGACTCCGAAAGGAAGCTGGTGCTGCAGCCCTTCTGGAGCCGCCACGTCTCCCAGCTCCTCCTCCCTCGCCCTCTGAGGAGGCTTGCTGAGAAAGGTCCCTCCGGTCCTGGGCCACAGACCCTCCACCCCAGCCCCACCCCAGCCTCTCAGCAGGACAGTCTGGCTGGAGCCTGTGGGATGGCTGCAGGCTCCTCCCGGTGCTCCTCCCTGCTGGCCTCAATGAGCCCTCTATCCCAGCCCAGGCCCCTGCTGAAAGGCACATTGAAGGAGCCAGCCCTCTCCCCTCTGGATGCGGGAGGGTTTCCTGTTGGGGCAGCCCCAAGCATCTTCAGGGCCAGGACTCAGGTGAAGCATGGATTTGTCCAGGCACTGTCCCAAATTCTAGGTCTTCTGTCACTTTTTCATGTCCAAATGAATCTGATCACAAAAGAGAATGACATGTCACAAGGTGGTAGAGGAAACCGTCCACTCGAAGTGGGATAGGACCCCTGGACCCTGGGACCCCTCTCACTGGAGGGGCACATTGCAGTTTGACGCTTCTGTTCACCAGAGGTCTGTTTTCTTGTCCTGAGGCTATAATCATAGTTTCCTAGCCCGTGGCAGCTTAGTAAATGTGTTGTGTCAGCTCCCGGTACTCCACCTTACTGTGCACCTGGGCTGCAGGGCCCCCTGAGCTGCAGAGTACTGAGGAGACCCAGGGTGTGGGAGCAGCAGTTCTGCTTGCTGTGTGGGTGTTCTTACCCTGCCCCCTGGATGTGGCTCTCGGGGTGTCTGTGCCTGCGCAGGCTCCCACAAGTACATACGACCTGTCATCAGAGTCTCGGTACCTTCTGGCAGCCATATAGGTAGATGTATAAATGCTGTAGTGTTTTCTCTTTCACAAACAGAAGATCTGAGACCTGGAACTATTGTCCACATGCCGAAATGGGTCAGCACTATGACAAGGAAGTCCTTTTTCTGTTGTTTGTGGAATGATACCAAGGGTGCCGAAGGGACACAGCACGGATTCTTTTAATTCAGTTCTCTCTCAGCTGTCGAAATTTCCTGGAAAGCTCTTGTGGCGTGCCAATATCAAGGGAATTAAAAACGTTTATATTGATTTTTAAGAATGTTCACATTGATTTTCCTTTTCTTTTAATCAAGACGGTTAATTAGGAAAGAGTGATTCTGACGATGGAGAAGTCTGTGCCGTCGTTCCGTTTTTTCTCTTGGCCCCTTCTCGTCTCTGTCTTGCGTGCAGTGGGGAGGTGGAGCCCACTGCTCCTGGTTCCCAGGCAGGACACTGCTTCCCCCGTTCCTCCGGGATGGTTCTGTGGGAAGTGAGGAAGGCGCTGAAGTCTGGCTCAAGACAGTGCGTGATGCTACCATGTGGGGCTGGGGCAGAGATGAGATTGGGACCCCCCAGAATGGCTCTGAGGGTCTTGCTGGGTTGAATAAAAGTCCTGACGATGCAGCCTTAGTGTCCCAGGAGCCAGGCCCTGAGGAAAGCGTGAAATGAGAGGGTGGCTCTGGGCAGGTGGCTCACGGAGGCGCCACTACGGTACGGAAGCCAGTCCTGATCAAGTTCCATCAGGGGATGAGCCCAGCCCTTTATTTTCACACATTCTAGCAAAGGACAGCTTTCCAGATGTGTGATGCCATTTGGCATGTCCCTTTCAACTGGGAAGGTCACTTTTTGGCTAAAATCCCTCCAAGTATAACATCAATGATAAAAATTAAGCAGACACAGCCTCCTTACAATGCAGTAAATGCGAACCGTACAGGGTCTGAAGCTGTGCACCTACCCCATAGACAGTGACTGGTCCTGGCCCTTGGAAAACCTGGGGGCTCCTTCCCCATCTTTCTCCTGCGATTAGTGGAGCAATAGCTTCCTGAGATGTCCACGTCCCGCCTTCTGAGCCTGTGAAGATATTACATTACCTGGCAAAGGGGAATTAAGGTTGCTAATCAGCCGACCATAAAATAGCGAGATGATCCTGGATTCTCCCAGGGAGCCCAGTGTCGTCACAGAAGAGCCAGAGGGAAGTGAAGGCCAAGAGGCCTGGAGACTTGCGGTGGGCGGGGCTTGGAGGGGGAGGAGGGGCCACCAGGCAAGGAATGTGGGTGCCTCCAGAAGCTGGTAGGGGCATGGGAATGGCTTCTCCTGAGAGCCTGAGAAAGGAGTGCAGCCCATGACCCATGCCAGGCTTCTGTCTACAGGACGGCGCCTGCTGCCTGCCGTGTGCCAGATACAGGACGCTGGGGACAGGTGCAGAAGTCAGTAAGATCCTGAGCTTGGCTTTAAGGAGGATGCTATCTGTGGAGGCAGGATGGCCTCAGTAACCCTAAAGGACAGGCGCCCTGTGACCTTCTTCCTCCTTCCTGGTTTCCTTGTGCTGCCCACCCCCATGCGGATTTGAAACGGAACTTTCAAGTACAAATAATTAGCCTCGCAGGTGCAAAAGCAGGAATGAGGTAACATTTTCAAGGCGTCTGGCATTAATAAGTGTTTCTTTCAGATGCACCACTCGTGTTCCCTGGCGCTGTTAGCACAGGTGTTTGAAGGCCCTGGCTGCTGCCTTGGCCGTGCTGAAGAGTGTGAGGTCAGCGGGGTTTGCTCTGTGAACACAGTGGGCACTGTGAGGCCTGCCTGCCTGCTCTCTGGGTGTGGGAAGGGAAAGGCAGGTAGCTCTTCTCCAGGGATAAAGGGTTGGCGCGCTCGCCACCTGCCTGCGTGTCCCTGCCAAGGAGGCGGGGGCTAGGGTGTAGTGTCTTCTCAACGCGATGCTGTTGCTTCCTGCCCTGCCTAGTCCCTGAAAGGGAGGAGCCAGGTGGCCCTCACTAAGGCTGCTGGTTCCGCCACCTGTCCTATTTCACCCCTGCAGGAAGCGGGAGAAACAGACTCTCTCGGCTGTCTGCTGTCCGGGGAGGCACCACTCCCTTCAACATAGCCTTTCGGAGAGGGCAGCGGCAGGCCTGGGGATGGCCTTGGGAGGTAGGTGGCCCCTGAGCCCATGGCTTGCTCCTGGGAAAGGGAAGCAGCAGGGAGAGGCCCCCTGGGTGCGCACAGAGAAAAGCCAACTGTTTCCCTAACTCTCTGCTCCTAACTACCCTTTCCCTAACTCCCCCTCCCAACTCCCCCTCCCTCCCTTTCACCTCCCTAACTCGCCCCTCCCCAAACTCCTCCCTAATCCCCTTCCCTAACTACCCCCTCCCTAACCTCCCTCTCCCCAACCCCCACTTTGTAACTCCCCCTCCCTTTCACCTCCCTAACTCGCCCCTTCCCAAATCTAGATCTCCCCTCTCTAGATCTCCCCTCCCTTACTTCCCCATCCCTAACTCCCCCACCCCTGCAGCCTCCCTCTTCCTAACCCCCCCTTCCTAACTCCCCTCTCCCTAACTCACCTCCCTAACTTCCCCCTTCCTAACTCCCTTCTCCCTAACCACCCCCAGCTCCCCTCTCCCTAACCCCCCTCCCTAACTCATGGCTTCCCTCTTGCTCTGGGAGTGTTCTGTGGGATGGACAGATGCCTCGTGGTCCCTATGAGCCTTTCAGGTAGTTGTCACTCCTGTGAGTGCTCTCCAGGGGGCAGCAGGGGTTCTGTCCCCTAGGACCCTGAGCCTTCGAGATTTGCAGCCCTGCCTGAACAGGAGAGCCTGGCTGACCTTGAACCCACGACTTTGCTGTAGTTTCTGGGTCCTCTTGTTGCTGATTATCTAAAATCAGAACATTATGCTGCAGGCACTGGGGTTGAAAAACTTCTTTTTACAATAAAGCAAATATTTAAACTGCCTAAAGCTTTGAGGAGTGCAGGGAGAAGCCTGACACGGGCCTCTTTCTTCTGGAAAGGACTTTGTCCGTCTTATGTCTTACCTTCAACGGTTCATTTCTGTTGTTCCCGGCTGGCAACAAACAAAGAACCCCCTACCCCCACCCACCAAAAAAGAACCCAACTTGTTTTTAAAAAGAACATGCTAGCTCTTATCTGCAGCAGGCCCCAGCAGCCAGACATCCCAGGCAGCCTCCAGCCAGTGGTAGCTGATACACAGCACAGGCCGTGGCAAAGTCATCTGATTTGAAACTTTTCGGCAAAATAAAAGTAATTTCTTGGGGTACTGAAGGAGAGATGAAGCCCAGGGGAAGGTGTTCTGGTACTGAAGTTAAAGGAATTCTCTGGAAGGTACACAGAGTTCTCTTGTCACTGAAAGTAGTCAGTCCCTTGTTAAACAAAGGTATCTGAGTCCCCAGCGTCTCTGCCCCTCTGTTAGCTCTGGGGAATCAGCAAGACCTCGAGGTAGCGCTGACCGCACCATCCCTCAAGGGTGTGTTCACAGTCTGTCTCCCCCACTGACACTGATTCCTCGGAGCGAAGAGAGGGGCAGAGACGCTAGACTCAGACACCTCTTGTTCCATGTGGTCAGTGAGCATCCCAGGTGGGGAGCAGCATGTGCAGCAGTGTGGATGCCAGGAGCCCGGGACTGTAAGGCATGCGGTGTTGCACAGGGACCTGGGAGAGGTCCCGCTCCTGGGAAGGCGGGCAGAGAAACCCAGTGAGGCCTTCTCTGCAGGCTGAGACATTTGTACTTTAGATGGAAGGCATTGAGATCTACTAGAGCTTGAATCAGATTTGCTTTTTTGGAAAAATTATTCTGTCGGTTTTGTGGAGGATGATTTGAGATGGTCTTGACCAGGGATCTGTCAAGGGACAGCGAGTTGGTATTTTCAGTCTCCACAGTCTGTTGCAACCACTCAACTCTGCAGTTGGACTCAGCATGCTGGGAAGGAATCTGAGCTTGCTTTAATCAGCTGCATCTACACACCAGGCCACGTCCACACACCAGGCCATGTCCACACACCAGGCCACACCTACACGCCAAGCCATGTCCACACACCAGGCCGCACCTACACACCAAGCCACGTCCACACACCAGGCCACGCCCACACACCAGACCACACCTACACACCAGGCCACGTCCACACACCAGGCCATACCGACACAGCAGGCCACGTCCACACACCAAGCCACACCTACACACTGGCCACGTCCACACGCCAGGCCATGTCTACACACCAGGCCGCACCTACACACCAGGCCGCATCCACATACCAGGCTGCACCTACACACCAGGCCACGTGCACCGACACACCAGGCCGCACCTATACACCAGACGGCACCTA